TGTCTAAGGCATGCACAAACACTGAGGAGTTCTGTATTGAAAGAATACAATTTGTGAACATGGACCTCACAGAAGGCAGAGTGGTGAGAGCCAGTTTCGGAATAAAGACTTAGCTTATATTACATGCAAACTGAGAAATTTTAATTTTGATAGGGAAACAGATACACACATTCATACATACCTCCTGAACTTCTGGGGCTCCTGGGAAAACCCTCCCTGGCTTCTTTGGCCCTACAGTGAGGAAGGCTAATTGAGATTCTTCAAGGGAAATCCCTTTCCGTTTCTTTATTGCCATGGAAAGATGCATTAAGCATTCTATATTCCATTCTTTCTCAGCTCCTGACTTTGCTCAGCCAAAGCTCAGGGAGTCAATGTCCAGGGATTCCATTAAGCACGCCCTTTAGTGCTCCCTTCCCCCAGGCTCGGTGTGGGAACAGATCCTTGCCCCTTAGATGAAGGATTCGGAGGGTAGCTCTCAGGAGTAACTGGGCATGAAGCCTGCCTTTTTGCCAGGCGTTCCTGAGATACTACCTGCCGAACTTTAAGACTAACGCAGTAAGGTGGATGCCTTACTGCCCTCCACCTTATGGGGGAGGATAAGAAACATTATCTTGTTCTCCAAACAAGATACCTCTGAAACAATCTTTCCTATCCACCAGTGGCTGCCTTGGCCTAATAAAACAATCCATTGGAAACCCTGCCTCGCAGTGTCATACTGCTCTTCACTTCAGAATACCTTCGTCAAGGGATCCCTCCAATAGCAAGCCCCTCTGTGGCTCTCTGCCTGTGGTCCACCTTCCCATTGTGAACCCTGCTGGCGAGGAGCTGGGGTTATGAAGGGAAAGGGCAGGGCACAAGGCAAGTCGGGCTCGTGACTTTTCCCCTTTCATTATGTGTGTCCACCGAGCTGTCCTGCTTCTGTTTTGTAATGGGTTCTTCCATGGCAAGCTGACCTTTCGGCTGAATAGGTCAAACTCCCACTGAGCGCTAATCCTCAGCCCTCCTCACGTGAGTACCTCCCCTGAGGTGAGGAGCACCGGTTAGGAATATGACTGGGAGGGCCTGGTGTATTCCCCAAAGAAGGGTTGCCTTTTACTGCACTGAATTAATTCTCAAAGACCACCGTGTGAGGTTATGCTGAAGGATCCAGATTAGAACTTTTCTGCTGACATTGTGGAGGGGCAAAACTAATTTTTCAGATACGTGTTTTAGACTGTGGTTCTCCTGTGTATCTTCTCCTTTTTAATGAGAGAAAGGCCAAATGCACAGTCTTAGTGATTCATCAGATCATTTTGGATTTCTGAGACAATCAGAATTTTCCTAGTTGATTTTTTAAAAAATGAATAAACCCTTCTCCGTATATTTCTCTTCCATTTAAAGTCTCTTAAAACTCTAGGTGTTTTATTTTTAACCCTTGTAAAACATGAAATAGTAGAGTTGTGGTGTGTGTTGATAATTATATACCAGACCTAGTTTTGTTTTAAATGTCATTAAAAATGTTTTGGACTATTTATTAGGTTTTGTAACACTAGTTACCTTATACTAGCTAGAAATTTTCAACATCAAGTAGGCATTTAGCACATGTTGAATTGAATTTTAAGTTGAATTCCTATGGCTTGGGCTTTCTGTTTTATACTAGTTTGTATATGCTTTTCAACTCCTGTAGCTCCTCTGTCTCACTCTCAGTGAGCTGGTAACAATCTTCACAGACAAATGGTTGCACATTCCATTTATTTAGCCCGTGTGTGTGTGTGTGTGTGTGTGTGTGTGTGTGTGTGGTGTGTGTGTATAGGTTAATTTTTTTAGTGTTCTTTAAATTTCAGAAAATAGTCTTTTAGTTGAACAAACACATAAGTGAAATATGTCAGTAGATCAGTTGAAACAGTGATCCATTCCGCAATAATAAGTGTAAGTATGTCTGGGCTACCAGATGGTTTTAGTCACTGTCAATTTCCAAAATACAGAAGTATGAGAGAGCTCCATAAACAATGTATTACTTTTTTGAGGATGACAGATCCCATTGAGGAAATGCTCCTTTAGGTTTTTTTAGATCATTAGTGATACTCTATAAACATAATGAGATTAACACGGAGAAACAAAGTACCTGTGTTTGCAGTATTCTTGAGTTATCAGATTATTGTCTCAGTTCTCAAAATGCCAAATGTGATAGGATAAGTGCAAGATAAAAAGTACATATTTAACATCTATTCAGTTAGCATTAATGCTCAAGTTAAAGCTGGGCTCCTACCAGGGGCATAATGGGCTCCTGTTTAACATATTTATGTTGGTTGTAAAATTAGGAACTGTCATTACAGCCCACATCACCTGCGTAAGTGCAAAACATATAAATCAAGAGAAGTTCCAGTGACATAAAAATGCCATTGAATAGAATAGCATGAAACTACTTGCAAGATACTTGTATATTATGCTAGCGTGTATGGGGGTGCACACTCAGATTTCTAGGGGGTTTGGAGAACAAAGAATAACTATACAGATAGAACTCATGGATGAAGACATTTCCTCAGAGCACAGCCTGAACCCTAGTGGAGAAACGGCAGGAAAAGAAAGGCCATCAATAGCCAGACTTGAATAAACCCCCACACAGCCCCACAGAAGACAACAGCCTCTATGCTTTCAGAAGGCATTTGAGCAGCTTTATGTTGTTACTGGAGCTTTCATCTTGGGCCTCCTAAGTAAGTGAACTTTTCTGTGATGTTTTAGGGTTCCTTATAATCTGGTGGCTGTTATTCCCTTGGCCCCCTCGTAATCCAGTTCTTTGTAGAATGATTTCTGTTATCTAAAATTAGGCCTTTTTTTTTTTTTTTTTTTTTGGTGAGGTGCAGTGATTTATTTTGAACTTTGTAATTGGAGGCCCTGACGTGCCCCCCCGCAATTATGAGCTATTAATAAGGAGCTTTCTGAATCCTAATTACTGCCTCAAAAACAGAGTGGACACTTGAGAAGTTTTTCAACTCCCCCGCTTCTCCCTCCCAAAAGCCACCCACCCCCATAATCTAAAAAAAAAAAAAAAAGGCTGCAGATTTTATTCATGTGGGATCATTCACACCAAGCTACCATAATGTGCAATTAACACTCTAGAAACTGAAAACAGTATTCAGCAAGACAGCTGCATTATCAAAAATGCCAAAGGAGTTTTGAAGGGAGTAATGTGCATGTTAGAATAGGAAATTAATCAGAAATGTGCACACCCACATACACACAGTAGTACTGTCTTAAGTATATCTGAATATTAAAATTGTAAAAACCCTATGTCTATATTTATAATAAAGATTAATCTCAGCATAGTAAACTGATTTTTCTGTTTTAAGATTTTTAGTTGTGTGTTTTGCTTCTGAAGCAAATGAGGAGGCTGGAGTAGAGATCTCTAAGATCCCTTCCAGCTGGAATATTCTTTTGATAATAATCACTCTTCAATTATATTTTATAAATTTTCCCATTGAAAAAAATGCGTCTGTTATTTTTCTCTTGTCAGTAATAATGATACTTAACACACACGCATTTTCACAGTGCCTTGCAGACATTGCAGACACAAACTCACATTTGCAGGGGTGAACTCCCTACTTTGCATAGCACAATAATCACAAGTGCATTTATATTATAATCCCTACTAAGCTATGGAGCCAACTGACCAACTTAGTAACTGAAATGCAACAGAATTATCCCAGCAGTATTTCACTGGAATTTTCTTGTCAACTAGTTGAAAGTGTTTCTGAAAGTAAGAAAGCAGGGATTTTGATTTTATTTTCAACTAGTAGTATCTGGGCTTGAGAGAGCAGAGGTTTGTAATAAAATTTTCAAGAAAAGCAGGAAGATATGGGGAATTTACTTGTTAGAAATATAGCAAGCATCTGAATCTTTTCTTTCATAAATCAGTGTAAAGAGAATGGATTTTTTATGATGTCCTCACTTCTGATTTCTGTATGTTACTTCCCCTTTTGTCTATAAATTTGTTCTGACCACAACGCATCCCTGGAGTCTCCCTGAATCTGCTGTGATTCTGGGGGCTGCTTGATCTGTGAATAGTTCATTGCTCAATTATACTCCATTAAATTAAAAAGAAAGAAAGAAAGAAAAAATAGGCAGAAGAACAGGTTTAAAACAAATTGGCACCCCACGTTAAAAAAAAAAAAAAAAAACATAAACAGATGACACTCAATTCTGAATCCCGCAGTTATTATGCATTAAACCCCCTTTTGTTAAGGATTATGAGGACTCCTTGTGTGGTAGGCATCTGCAGGCAAAGCGTGTGAAGCTTGCCTGGAAGAGGATTGAGTCTTAGTGAGAAAACAGGAGTGTTCGGGAACTCCAGATAAGAAACTGTCACTGTCCGGGTGAGGCACATGCTGGCCAAGGATCTACCTGGGCTTCTTGTCAGTCCTATAGGAATAGTTCCACATGAATATGCAGTAAATGTGAAATCCAGCCATCTCAGGATGCTTAACACTAGTGCAAATGATCATGAATGAGAATGTCTTATCCAATATGTTGTGCTGATTAAATTGTGATGAAGTTTTTGCATTAGAAAATATAAAAAGTTTCCTGTTTGTTTTTTTCTAGCCTAGAAGATGTAAGCAGTTTAGTTTTCTCTGGGGGTGGGGTTGGAGGGGAGATAAGGCAGTATGCAGATGCTTAAAAAAAATCAATACCTTAATTTTAAGAAAAACAGTGTACTAATTTATTTTAAAGGAACCTGAACATTGACATGTTTTTATTCCGGTATAGGGAAAACCATCCAAAAGGAAAATGTTTAAAGTCTGAATGTATTTTTTTTTTTGATGTTTCTAAAAGTCAATATTCTAGGTTGAAAATTCAACCTAGGCTATTTTATGCTTAGACAACTCAGAACTAAAATTAATACTGGGTGGTGGTTCAGATCTCATTGTTATACTAGTCAGTGATGCCATTCAAGAGAAACTAAGCTGAAGGTAGGAATCAGAGCTCCAACTTAATTGTTCTGTTTTCTTTCTTTTTCTTTTAAGTTATAGGTGCACAGCGAAGGAGAAGCCCCAGTGCACTAGCCATTGAAGTATTTGAAGCACATTTGGGAAGTCACATTTTGCAGGTACTTTTAAAACAAAAAGAAATTTGCTTATATTTTACTAAGAAAAAAAACCATATGTTTAGTCTTTTTTTTAAAAAGAAAATTTTTTAAAATGTCAGCTGTATATTTGACTGTTGTGATTTTATCTTGGAATTCCGAAATTCTTATGAGTTTATTTTTTTCTTTTTAGAAAGCCATCCTTTGAGAGAATGTTAATGAGAAAGGGAGGGCAAGTATTATTTGTGCTGAAATAATTTAGATGAATTGCACTATTTAGTTGATGCGCAATGTGTAGTAACTGGCTGTTCCCAGAATGGTTGTGTGCGTGCCGTATTTGTAAGTGGATCTATGTGTGCGTCTTTGGAGCTATATATCGTTTTTGGGAGAGCAAAGTTTCGTTGTGAAAGTACTGTGATTTTTTTTGTGTGTCGCCAAATTTCAGTTCTTTGCTTGAGTCTGTATTTGTGAGTGCTTCCAATCTTAATGTTTGCCTCCCCAAATTAGAAATTTTCTCAGGGTAAAATATAGTATATTTAAAAATACTAGTAAAAGGAGACAAATAATAATTGATTTTGCCAATGAACTTCATGATAAATAAATGTTAAAGGTCGCTAATATGAAACTGTAGTTACTTAGCCCTAGAGAAAATTCATTGCAAACTCATCATCTCACTTACTCAAAACTTTTTTTTTCACTAAGACTTTGCCATCGATTCAACACTTCTGCCTTCAACCATAGAAAACTGTGCCACATTGGTACTGCTCTCAGGATAAATGTTGCCATGGCCACTTTTTTTAATCTGTGAAAGATACGCCTTTTGACATAGAATTGGAGAAGCAGACAAGTTTGGGATATGTAGGCCGCTTACTGTATTTGGAAAAGGTAGCTATGTTTTTCTGAGATAAACTTTGGAGTAAAATAAAAATATACTCCAGATCGCTGTTCATTCAGAGTTTATAAATAGGGCCTTTATGGTGCTTTCATTTTCTAGGTTGTCAAAAGTAATATTAAATTTAGCATATTATCTTTCAACTATGTGCATTAGGAAACTATTATGTGATTCTGCGTTTTAAAAAAAAAAAAAGCTCATAGTCAATCCTGGTGGTTCTCCAAAGCAGTGCCTTTACTGGCAGTTTCAGAATCACCCAACACTTGTTCATAGGATGCATTCTTGGGCCTCGATCTACACCTACTAAATCAGAGTTTATAGGGTAAAGTCCAGGAATTGGTGGTTTTTAACAGTCTTCTGAGATAATTTTGATGTTCCATCAGGTCTGAGATAGCACCTTGAGCATTTGCAAGTTTAAAGCCCTAAGAAGTCTTACTTTATATTTTTGTTTATTCTTATTTCTCATTTATCCATTAATATCTGTTAATATCTCATAGAACTGATGTTTCTTGAAATACACCTTGGGAGTTGCTATTCTATTGTGTACTCAAAATTTTGAATTACCTTTGTTGCAACCTAGGATTAGTTTCAAGGATACAGAAAGGATCATATTTCTTTCTAGGTCTTCAAATTTTTATTTCCTTTTTTCTTACACATACTTTGTTCAGAATCTCTATTATAGGTTTTGTATGGGCCATGACATATAAATTAGTAGACTCTGATGTGATTCAGGACTATTCCTGTTTCTATTCTGAAGCAGTCAGAAATTGTTACCTAAGACTTAGTCAATGAAAAATTATTTAATGAAAAATTATTCAGAGACTAGTCCTAGATTATTATCTTCTAAATTCTTTCTGGAAATCATGACTCCACAGGACTATGAGTAAGGTGTCTCAGTAACTGCAAGAATTGAAGACTAACACAAACTTAGGAGTTTGAATCAAATGTAAACTCAGTATACATACATAATGTAAAATGGCTCTCCCAAATACTAAATCAACATTATACTTCATTGAGAGGATATAGGATCTAGAATGGGGCTGCAAGCTCATTCCCATTTTGGGTGGGCCACATTCAGACACCACACTGTGGTTGCATCAGCCATCACACCAACCTAGACAGCTGGATGCCATTTGGAGTAGAATAACCAGACTGGTGAGTAAACTAGAAATCATATTACGTGAAGCGTGGCAAAAGGCCTGAGAAAGTTTAGTTTGGAAAACATGACTTAAAAGGGGCATCAATGCCCTCTCTATTTATTTGAAGACTCATTTCCAAAAAAAAAAAAAAAAGGGGGGGGGTAGATATTTTCTGTGTGGCTTCAGAGTATGAGAAAAAAGATAAATGGATGAAAATTTAGAATGTTTAAATTATATCCGTACAAGAAAACTCCTAAATAGGGCTGGTCACACTTGGAATATGTTTGAAGCTGTAGACTTTAAGTAGGAATATAGATGACTTGGTAAAGATACTTTCAAGAAAGGCATCTAAGCATGATTGCACTATGTCATCTTACAATTGCCATAAGAACTAGAACTTTTGGTATAATTTGATTTTAGTACTAATGGTTATGGAGTGGAAGAACTACTACATAGTATTCTAAATTAACTGCTAGAATTATAGGCGAGAAGGGATTGGGAACTAGTAGTAACAAGAAGAGCCTCCCCTAAGCTATCATATTAGTTGTTTTGCCTAACTAGCAGGGAAACTTTTGAGCCCATAAGCCCATGTCTGCACCATGTTCAACAATATCGTAATGTTCAGTAAGGATGAGATGGCTTCTACATTTTGTTTCAGAAGGGTCCATGGTAGAATCTGGCTGATCCATAAAGACTGGAATGAATTCTCTCTTCCCTTTCCTCCTTCTTACTCTTCCTTCACTTGCAAATAGTTGATAAAAACCTGTGGTTAACAAAGTATAGGCATGATCTCCAACCTGACAGTTTATAGTCATTTAACACTCCCCTTCATCCCCCACAAGTTTCAAATACTTTGTAAGAATACAGAAGTCACTGTATATGGCTGCTGTCTTTAAATAGCTTACAGCCATTCAGGGAAAGAGGAGCCAGGAGGTTGCATAAAGTGAGAAACATCATACAGGTCAAGTACTTTGGGGCCACAAAAGAACAAGGCTCTGAACAAGGCCATAAAGCACCAAAGAGGACTTTTCAAAGTTGTTGATGGACGAATAGGAGTTTATTAGGCAAAGAAAATGGAAGAATATTCCAACCAAAGGGTACCTCAAACACAAAAGCATATAAACAAGTAATGATAAATCTTACTTGGGGACTGTTTAGATGTTTGGTATGATGGCTGCTTCCCATATGCAGTGGGACATATAAGAGATGAAGGAAGAGAGATTATAGGAGCCATATTACCAGGAGGTGTGGACTTGATTCTCCATGAGGAGCCCATGGAGAGGGCTTTTATGCTGGAGTGACAGGAGAACAGTTTGGTTTATTTCTGGAGTTATTATCAAAATACAACATCTAGGAAGTCTGAGTTGTAAGACACTGATATAAAGAGACCGTTTAGGAAATTGTTACCAGAGTTCAAGAAAATGAAGATCTTTTGCAAGATAGTACTGTGTGAATGAAGAGGCAGCTATGGAATTGAGATAGAATCATTAGCACGTGGTCAATAATTAGAGGTGAAAGGCTAGAGAATGACAGGATTTAATTATCACCACAAGTTTTCTGGCTTGGCTACTAGCTGTCTGATTCTACTACCTGAGAGAAATCTAGAGGGATGGTCTCTTAAATAGCCAAGTTGATATGAGGTAGGCACTTGGAAACCTAGGTCCTATTTCTGCAGAGTAATTCCCAGGCTAGATCTAGAATTACTGATCACTGGTGTATGGATGAATGATAGTTCACATTAAGAATGGGTTACAGACCTATGGAAATCATGTGGAGCAAAGAGAAGGTTAAGGAGAGCCCACCCTGGGGTATGTCATCATTTAAGAGGCCAGTAGACATGAGAAAGGAATGGACAGAAAGAAAAAGCAAGCCACAGGATTTGATTTTGTTAAAGGAAGGAATATTAATAATGTCAAGGTAGCTGAGGATAAATCCTTTAGTAGGGCAAATCCTGAAGAGATGTCATAGGTTTTGTGGATTGAAACAGTTGCCGTGTGAGTAAGTGTAGAAGACAGACCTAAAGAACGATAAGAGGTAAAGGAGAAGAATCTGAGTGTTCATGGTAAAGGAAGGGTACAAAATAAGAAGTTATCATCAAGAGAAATTTGTGTTTTTCATGCAGTGAGAGTATGTTTATATGTCTGAGATTTATGGGATCAAGCATTTTGTGCATATTGGAAAAGAGGTGAAAAACTAACTCTTGGCCAATTATATGCTCTTTAGCAATCTCCTTTAAAAATCAATATCTCGTGGTCATGGCTGTGCTGAGAAAGGATTGGTTTTCATTATTATTAATGGCTAAATGCTATTCTATACTATGGATGTATCATAATTTATGTAACCATTTTCCTGCTATTATTTTGATTACATCTAAAAATTTTCATATCTAATGCAGATACCAATGTGCGTGTATGTGTATAAATGCAAAGAGAAGATAAAATATTGAAAAACATATTTTCTAAAAAGAAAAACCTAGTCTGGATGGATTTCAGCTTAAATATAATGAATTTTTACTGTGTACTAAGTTTCAGGTACTGTGCTAAGTACTCTTCTTATATCATCATTGAGTACTCATGATATAGACCTATGAAATAGGTGCTATGATTATGTGAATCTTAAAATTGAGTAAACTAAGATTCTAAATCTTAAGTAACTAAAGCTCACATGTCTGTTTAGGTAACAGAGTTGAATTTGAACCCAGGATGGTAACGCTAGGGTTATAACACTTTGCAAAAAGTGATAAGAGCATTTTAAAAGACAATGGTAATAAGAGGAAACAATTAAGACACTTACAGTTGGAGTAAACAGGCTTCAGTAACTAATTGAATTTGGAAACTAAAGTAGATGTCAGTTCCAAATACCAGTGTGGAGTTCAGAAAATGCCTGTGACTTCACTACCAAAGCTTTCAGGTACCAAAGCTTTCCTGCTGCCTGTGCCCTAGTGATGTTTCATTGAAGTGCATACTACGTGCCTCTTGGTGTGGAGGATGTGA